TGTGATGCTATTCTTGTTATGAAGGATAAACATTAAAAGCTAAGGTCTACTTTTGTGCTTATTACCGGCTAGCTAGAAGGCCTCCGAGATACCGAGCTTACACTTATAGAGGCGTTTAATCTTGCCGTATATAATGCTATTCTTGTCCTAAAGGATAAACATTAAAAGCTAAGGTCTGCTATTATGCTTGTTACTAGCTAGCTAGAAGGCCTCCTACGCTAAACTAGCGGGATCGGCGTTCGAGGTAGCGTAATAGGTAGAGGGGTCCCTATAGGCAGGAGGAAGAGTAGCACTATAGACGGCGTAGGTCTAGATAAAGGACTACAAGAATCTCTAAATAGTAGCCTTGTCGGCCTACCTTCGAAGGGACACTACGCTAGGGAACAGCGTAAGACACATCGGCTCCGAAACCCGGATTAACGTCCTTATTCCATCTACGGCCGTCCTTACTAGCGAGGGTTGTTTATAAGGACATCGTTATAGAAGATTTTAATCTGCTTATCGTCCTACTCCTCGAGCTCGTCCTCGCCCTTAATTAAGAAGCAGTGCTTTCCGAAGGTGATGATCTTAAAGACAACTTCCTTTCTGCCTCCGTTAGTAGTGACGAGATCCTAAGAAGACCTTAGCGGCCTCGTCGGGTTTGCTATTAGCTCTAATGGCCGTAAGGATGACGGCTAATAGAGGTAGATGTAGTCTATAAGCATCGTCGTAGAGGCTATGGCGGTCCCCTTAACCTAGTTACTAATAGTAATGCGACATAGAGCCTTATAGCGTCGTTACTAGCACTGCTTATAAACTAAAGGAGGCTTATAGTGTTGTCGAACTTAAGTCTAAAGCTATACAGAATATAGCGAGCTTCGGCGGCGCATTCCTTACTAAGGACAGTGCTAGCAGGTCTATGTTTGAACTCCCTAGCGTACTCCTTAGTAGCCTTAATAGCACCGGCCTTCTCGACAATGTTAATCTTACTAATTAAGCCCCCATCTCCGTGCTTAGGAGGTAGGTTGTATCTTAGGGGTCTGCCGTAGATGTCCTTAGGCAGCTTTATGAACTAGAACGGGGTAGCTAGCTTAATAATGATAGCCTAGCAGCCGTTGTTAAGTATGTAGGAAGCGACGAGCTCGAAGGATTAAGCAGTAGAGAGCTTTATAGTCTAACCGAAGCCGCCTTCCTTAGCCTTAGGTAGAGGCTATAGATTGTCAGTGTTAAACAACTGACACGTTAAGAAGGACCGTACACTTATAATAGTAAGAACATATTCGTTCTCGTAAGTGACATTAATCGGGCCCGCACCGCTAGCAGGAGTAGCTAGTTTATTAGCACCCTTAGGAGTGCCTCTCTTTCCGGTAGTCTTAGTCTTTACTCTAGTAGAAGGAGTTAAGGGAGTCTAATTCTTATCTCTAGACTTAGCATCGGGAGTAGTAGGAGCAGGTTCGGCAGCGGGCCTAGCTGCTTTAGAGAAATTTGTCTTATTCGTAGTCGGCAGGTTTTATACACTGTAATAGAAATTAGCTCTTGTCGTAAAGACGAGCAACGCGTTTTAAATAACAAACATCTAGCGCGCCGCGACCCTCTCTGCTATAGCGCAACTCTAGAGCAAATAGCTAGATTAAATCCCTATATGTGCGCACCATGTTAGTAGAGATGTTTGCATAGCGGTAGTCGAACTAGTTAGTAGTAGTCAAATAGGGAGGATCGAGAATTCCGTCTGTCGTCGTCGTATAGTCCCCTTTAGACCCTTCTCTATCGTCGCTAAGCCCTCCTTACTCGCCTCTCCGTCGTCGCTACTGCTACTAGCCTCTCTAGTAGCTACTATAAGACTCGCTCATCCCTACTGCTATAACACTATAATTATAATAACAAGATCTACGTACGGCGAATTCGGTAGTCGTATTTAAGACTCTCCTAGCTATGTTAATCTCTACGGTTCTTCTTCGCCCTCGGTGCCCCTTACGAAATACTCGCCTATAAAGATCTTTTCCCTATAGCCCTCTTCTCCGCTCTTAATTTCTCTGCTTCTGCTCTATTATGTGCTCGTTTCTCTTTTGCTCTCTGCCTTACATCGGCCTCTCGTGCAGCTAAATGCCTTATACGTTCCCTTTTCGACTCCTCTACTTGTCTTATAACCTTTTCCTCCTAATCCTCGTTATATATAAAGTTATACGTCGCCTAATTAGCTATATTGTTAATGTATATATCCTTGTTTATGCTTTAAGGTCGCTCGTCTACTAGCACTACGTGCATTATATAATAGATAGAGGTTAGTCCGTACATTCGACGGCCTTAAATTATACTACGGTGTAGTCTTAGGGGTAGCGGTTTAATGAGTGTCATCCTATATACGTNTTAGGAGCGGCGGCGACCGTAGGCTAGAAGCTAGCGAAGTATATAGCGATCGCCTTAAGGGCGCTAGTAGAGCGCGCGGCGATAGTGTTAGCCTCGGTAGCGGCACGGCGGGACTTAGTAGCCTCCTATAAATTAACAAGGTTAGATACGGTCGCGCGACATATAAGCGGAACGTAGGGATAAAGTAATATACCTAAGCGAGGTGCTTAAGGGCGGCGCGCTTACGTACCTCCTCGTAGAAGGCGGCGACGGTAAGCGGCGAGCGCTTAACCTTATCGGCGTCCTTACGAAGGCGGACGTTACCGACGTAGGAGTTAGGGTCGTACTCGGCGGCGTCGAGGTAACGAAGGAAGCGGGCGCGCTCGCGGGCTACGCGTGCCTTAAGCTAGCGGAGCTTAAGCGTAGTAGTAGCGTTAACCCTACGGCTAGCGCGAACGGCGATAAAGGCGTCTAAGACGCGGCGGTAGCGAACGAGGCAGTTAAAGGCCTTAGCCGAGTAGTCGTCTAGAGGCATATAGGCGTGCTTAGTAGTAGCGTAGTAGGGGCACTTTATTAGGGGGCCCGTATAGAAGGAGCAGTCGTCTATATAGCGGTTAGTAGTAAACGCGTACGGGAAGCGTAGGCTAAAATAAACCTCTCTTATCGGGACTACCCTAGTCCTTAGCGTAGCGGCTATACTAGACAATAGCGTCGTCGATAGCGACGGGGATACCGATAGGCTTAAATAAAGGCATGTTAGCGTACGGTACGGTTACGTTATAGTAGAGTTATGTTTACGAAGAAGAGGCGAGGCATAAGAGGTACGCGTACTAAAGAAAGGAAGGAATAAAGAAGTAACGGGCTAGCTTATTATTGTCGCTAGCCGTATACGTCGCGACGCTAAGGCGTCGCCGCTAAGCGGACCGCCTACGACGCCCGAACCCTAGCCGGCGTCGCCGGCTCTTATATAGCACGCGCGCGCTACGACAGCGAGGTAGTCTATTAGGCTCTATAGAAGTCGCTTACGACTGCGGATTTTAAGGGCAGATATAGGCCGCTAAGGACAGCGTCCTAGAGGGGGGGATAATTGTAACGGGATAGGTTACCCTAGTCTTCTCTCTCTTTCGCTAAGCCGGCGTTTCCTATGCGACACGCTAGCGTAGCACATAAGAAGAGTTCTATAGCTACCCTACGTAGAGCAACGAATAGCTTTAGCTATAGATAGACCTATTGTCTAAGAGTGATCTATACGTTGCTATATACCTTTATACCTTTATACGGACCGTCGAGTTAATAATAAGGATCTAGAAGTAGTGCTAACTAACTGTCCTCTAGCTCTTTTCTCTTAATCCGAGTAGCACTAACCGCGGCTATAATGTTATTAATTAGGTCGTTAAGAAGGATAGGTACTAACGTGTTAATACGCTTAAGTTCCTCGATATAGAACTAGTGAATTTTCTGCTTATTAAGGTATACCTTTTATCTCTCTACGCGACGCTCGATCTACGCTCTCTTAGACTTATTAGACTATAAGACCTCGTAACGGTCGAAGGCGTAGTAGTTTATATAGATAGCGTAGAGCATAGTCGTTATAAGGGTTAACATGCGAGACCGGTAAGAGTTTTAGATATAATTTATTACTAAAAAGGACCTCTTAGATAGTACGGAGTTTGCCGGAGTAATAGCTAAACGACTAGCTAACTTAGCTAGAGTAGAGGCACTAAAGTTCCCTACGAAGTTCTAAAAGGTCTAAGGATTAAACCTAACTTCCTCTCGCTATAGCTAAGGGTTTATAAAGACTCCCTTACGCTTAACATACGAGGCTAGTTATCGCTAAAACGTACCGATTTTATCGATAGGAACATATTACTTAAAGAACTAGTAAGCAGCTGCCTACTCCTTAGGCGACTGCTCGATATCCTTAGCATCTAGCTAGCAGTTAAGAAGGTAAGCAGCATAGTAGGTGTCGTTTGTTTAGATAGTAAGGCGCTTATCTAACCTCTTTAGTATTAGTTCCTTGTCCGGCAATGCTTACGCCTCTATCTTAAGTCGTAGATTACGCTATTAAGGAATGACTATACTAACAGTCGACCTATTATTCTTACTTAACTTCTACGCAAAGTAGAAGGGCTTAATTAGGTTTATAAGGTCCTCGACTTCCTTCTACTACTCTAACGAGTTAATAAGCATAGAAACATCGATATTAGATAACAATCCGCGCTAAGATGCCCGCTATAATAACCCTCGATTTTTTAAGAGCGCTATAACCGCTACGAAGTAAGAGCCCTATCTAGTCGAATAGGCGATAGCGAAGGCATATAGTTTCTCTCCTTCCTCGTCGGCTAACTCTAGTAGCAGTTGCTAGACCTTATCTAATGCCCTTAGGTAGGTTAGGGCTATGTTAACCTCTCTTAAAGTTAAAGAATAATACTTAATGCTACTAGCTGTTTCCTAGTTAGTTATATCCTTTAGACCGAGCTATAACCTATGCTTATCGTAAAGGATATAGAACATATGCTACGTCCTTAGATCCTACTATAGAGCGCGATAGAAGTTACGTTATGTTATATAGGTATCTATATAGATACTGTTCTACTTCTATAACTTATTTCCTATTAGCTTACTAACCTTCTCGATTACTATGTCCTTAGTCTAGTTACCGCCTATAGTTACTCCTCCGCCGTTAATAGCTTCGATAAAGAACGCCTACCTATTAGCCGTATTAATAGACAAGTTCGATACCCTATCTCGATTGTTCGCGCCGGATTCATCTATAATAAAGTTTAGGTACGTCGCAAAATCCTAAAGTCCGATATCGTGCTACGGTGCTACGCGTTGCTACGCTTGCTATAGGTTGCTATAGCACGGACCTCTATGCTATAGCCCTTCTCTATCGTCGCTAAGGCCCGCCTCGCTGCGCTACGCTTACTACTAGCGTTGCTAGTAGCTGTCGGAAGAGCACCCCCTACGTCGCCGAGTCTCTAAGAGCGCTCTTTTATTACCTTCGCTACTAGCCCTTCTAGTAGTCGCTGCAACATCCTCCCTCTTATATCCTACTATATTATTAGCATTAATTCATCCTTTTAACTATACGTAAACAATCACGTAAGGCACACGGTGCTGCAAAGCAGAGAAGAATTCATTACATAACTAGAACCCTTTATATCGAAGAGCCCTATAAGTAGACCTTAGTAGAGTCTTCCGAACCGCCGTCCCCGTCCTTTATAATAACTTCGCACGCTTAAATCTCCTCCTTATAGTTAGCCGAACCATTAGGTAATCCTACGAACCTAACTACGAGCACAATGTAGCGCTTGTTAATAACCTTACTAGTAACATTGCTAACAACCTTATTAAGGTAGGTAAGCAGTACCTTTGTAAGACTCTTATCTAGGTCGAGAACCTTAAAGTCCTCGTTAACCTTAGCCTCTAACTCTTCCTTCATGCTAGGGCTACCATCTATAATAATGCGGTAGCAGCTACTAGCAAGGAACTTAGTAACATCCTTACGTAGCTTAAGGTCCTTATAGAATGTGGTCACCGTCTCCTTAACCTCTTTCTCTAGTCTAGATAGGGTACGTAAGTCTCTAACGCTAGAGGCAGAGGAGTAAGAGACCGAGGCCGAAGATGAAGTAGGAGACGAGTTAGATCTACGACTACCGGAAGGGCTAACACCGCTAGTTCCCTTAGACTTAATACGGGAGGCTGCTTCGAAACTACCTATTAGTTCTCTAAAGCGCGGAGTATAGGCGCGCGGAGACTAGGCGGCGGTAGACATAGTAGTATTGTTATAGTTGTCTTCCTCCTCGTTCTTAATCTAGACTTTATAGGTCGTTATAGTAGCGACGCGTTAGGTAAGAGTAGGGGTAGGNNGCTCGTTAGTCGAGTCGATAGTTATAGGAAGAGAGAACTAGCGCTTCTAAGGGGGCTTCTAGTCGGTGCGGTAGACCTAGTAAAAGGCGAAATCGAGCGTAAAGGTAACGGGTAATGGTAGGGATCGTGTTCGATAGACGCGCAATTAATAGCTAATGTAGTTAAAGTGCGCGTGTACAGTGTAAAGGGTTTTAAGGCAGGCGAGCCGAGGGAAAACAAAAGCTAATAAACATAGCAGGCCGACGAACTTAATAGCAAAGGAGGACTTGCTCGCGATTAATGTTAATGTCGAAGGAAGCGTTAAAGGGCGCGGAAGTTAAGAGAAATAACTACTCTACAGTGCATGTATCGCTAAGGCTTTTAATGTAAGCTATGCAAGTGACGGTACGATCGGCTTTACTGTCCGCGTACGTTCTACGTACCCTCGTCTAAGCCGTAGGAGGCACTACCGCTCTAAGGGAAGAAGCGAACGTAATGACGCTTAGAAGCGATGATGACTAAGAATCTAGGCATAACGTTAATCTTAGCGAAGGCCTTCTTTATAGCGGCGACCTCCTAGTTAATAACCTAAGCGAACTAGCCTTCGGAGACACCGTCGCGGAAGTAGATAATAGTAGTAGGAGCCTTACCCTAACTAACCTATCTCGACTAACCNAGGATCCTTTAGTACGTAGACATTATAGTAAATCCTACTGTATCGTGTGTTACCTTACTCTCCCTATTATATGTCGTGCTCTATAGCATAGGTTACGCTAATATCCTCGACTGTTACAATTAGACGTAGGCAGATAGGTAACCGGCCTTAAAATGCTACAGATTGCTTTCCATCTTCTGTAGGCGCTTTATACTCCTAGACCTAAACCTAATTACGCCGAGGTTTGCCCCCTTTCTACTAATTCTCTACGTAACGAGCGATGTTTCGTTCTATAGTACTACTGTCATCGGTAATGTCGCTATGCTCCTTCCTACACTTAACAGAGTAATGCAGCTAGATAGGATAGTTATTCACCTAAGTGTCCATTAGCTTAACTCTATCCGGATCTAGGTTACTCGGCTGCTCTCGATTATAAGGGCGTAATTCTCGGACAAACACTGCCATTACCTATCGGAAAAGCGGGCCCTCTTCTAGCCCGAGTAGCTCGACAATGTCCCTTACTAGTCGCTATAAAGCCTTCTTTGTCCTCCGATTTTGTCCTAGCAGTCTAAATACTAAGTTAATAGGCTATGGTTCTCTAACCGAGACTAGCTCTTTGTCCCTTTTACGGCCGTCTACTAAGGTAGGTTAGGGACCGCGGCAGAGAATATCTTATAGCGCGAGCATGTTAATGCTACGTAAGTAGTGCTCTATTAGTTAGTCCTCCTAGTCGTTCTTCTTATTAGTCCTTCGGAAACCTTCTTTTATATAGGTGTAATGCTTGTGCTCTAGATGACTTATGTCCTAGTTCGGCGCATAGCCATAAAGGCGTATTATCTGCACGTAATGGGTTAAAGAATGCTACTTTAGAAAGTTAAAGTGCTGCTCGTCGTCCTTTGCTTTTAGGTTACGATATTTTCGAAACACTTCCTTATGCTAGTTCATCCGATATAACGCTAGTTCGAAATATCTAAGCGTGTTGTCGTCGTAGCTCTAATACATAGCTAGCGTAATAAAGTTAACTATAGCCCGGATGAACTAAATAGCTACGTTAGCTTCTAGAGTGCCTACTTCTTCGAGCAAGGGAACAAATATAGGCAGTATCTGACGGAGGATGTATTTTTGTTCTGCTCCTGTCTATTAACTTACCTTAGATAAGTGCTAGAATACGCGAATCGTCGCAAACTTTAGAATAGACGCGAATCGACGGTCGACGATGCTAGTTATAATGCTTTTAGCTACTTTAGCGTTTNCTTTTNCTAAGCGCTTCTTCGTAGCATTAGCATNTNTGACCGCCTTAAACATACGCGTCCCTAGCTTNTTCCTAGCCTAGTCTAAAAGAAACAATTNTGTCTAGCCGAGTACGTGCATNATAACACCTTTTAGCAATTAGTNAAGGATGTCGACTATAAGACTCTTATNTATNTCNATTAGCGGCATTGTTAAGGCAAAACAATTAATGTCGTAGATGCGTTCGTCCGGATTAAGTTCTAATTCATCTCTAGATCCTAGACCGGCCTCCTCTTCCTCTAACTCTATGCCGTCGTCTACGACGTCAAAAGTCTACGAGGGCTAAGTCGTACTGCTACTAGACGTGCTAGTAGCTCCTTTACGTTATCGCTAAATCCTCTCTCTTGTATTAGTCTTAGACCTCTACTCGGCTGTAAGTTTAAGGTCCTCTCGTAGATCCGGGTGAATCTTGCACATTATGCAGTGTCTATTACCTAATACTCTAGTTAACTTAACCTGCTCCTCGTAATCTGTCGTAAAGGCTACAATAATCGGGACATAACGTCTAGTCTAGCCGTCCGAGCAGGGGATTTCGGTACCTGCCTAAAGACACATCTGCTTTACCGGTTCAAATATAGTTGCTAGATAGTAGTGAAATATCCGACCTCTTATTATTGCATCTCCCTCCTTAACGATAGGAATTAGACTAAGCAGTATTAACCCGGGACGCTCGTTTAAATGTCGAGCAGAGGCACGAAGATTTCTAATGCTAAGGTAGACTACGTAGGCTACTAGGTCGCCTAACTGTAGGGTTAACATAGTCTTGTCGCTTATAACAATTAATGGCACGATCGTTACGCCCCTACCGCGTCTGTCCTAACTAATCTTTTCTTGTGTTTCCTACTACTAGTCTCCTATCGGCATGTCGTTATATCTTCTATAGGTTCGAGTCTCGTCGGTCCATGCCCTATACGGCTTAAAACAGAGGTCGTCTTTAAATCCTAGATGTCTAAGAAAGAAGCGAATAGTACGTACTAGATCTCGATATCGTAAGGTATACGTTTTATTCCCGTTTAGACTGTTGTCGCTAGGTACGTCTACNGTTATNTACTTCTACTAACTAATGTCGGCGACAGTTAGTATCTTTTCTATCTTCTCGCGTAGGTCGTTAGCGGAATCCTAGCCTAACTGTTCGACTAGCGACTTAAGACCGGGTTGTTTTAGGAGGCGGTCGATACCGTTCTTCGATATGTTCTCTTAGTGTATCTAACGAGCAAAGTCGAAACTAAACCGACTTCTAAATTCGCGTAAGAGTGTCGTCTCTAACGTGTTAGGGATAGGGCATCTAGGATCGTGTTAGACTAGTAGGAATAACAGCCTAATAATAAAGTCCTCTAACCTCTAAAGCCTAGCCGCCGCTTAGAGCTTTATGTTGTCGCTAAACGTTTTACGTACCTCTGTCGCCGCCGAGGAGGATAGCCGGCCGCTATTCGGTTTAATCGAAGCGCTATGCGCGAGACTCGGTATATCTTCGACTATAGTTGCCCGATATTTATTGTCTATAACTAAGGTAGGGAGGTTATGCTCCGTATAGTCTTGTTCGTCCTCTAAACTAGCATCTAAGATGTCTAGATAAGTTAGAAAAAAGCCTATAGGGTGCTCTGCCTCCCCGTAGTCTACCTCTAGGTCGTCTATAACCTCGAGACCGAGACGGTGCCCTAAATAGTCCTCTGTTTTATGTTCTAGTAGTACCTGCTACTCTTCGGTTGTTTAGACATCTAGTCCTTAGAATGGTTAGTAGTCTAGAATGTGTCGATCACTGTCGAGTATGTCCGCCTCGTTAGTCTCGTTGCCTGCTAAGTATTAGGGTGCTATACGTGTTAACATATGCGTTTTTGCGGGAGTCTAGATAACCTTACCTTTGCCGTTCTATATTCCCTCGAACAAACTTCTTGTATTGTCGTAAGGTCCCTTATGCTTGTTTAACCCCGCTCTACTCTTAAATCTAGACCTACCGCACGTAGAGCATGTTAAATTAGCGGTACGCATCGTATAGTGGTAGGCGTATATTAATTTAGACACGAGGCTTACGCGCGCGGATCTAGTATAATTTAGCTATAACGTTATAGCTTAGCGTCTTTCGCCCTTGTCGGCAGCGGTTTCCCTCCTCTAGGAATTGTTCGATATGCAATATTAATATATAAACCGAGACGTCGCTTATCGTAAGCGAGACGCTCNCTAGTAGTCCCTACCAATTTTCCGCCTCGAGTCCTAGTCTTTTTCCGCACCTACAAGGCTCTTACTATCTTCCTAGTGGCCCTACTAGTGGTCCCTACCAATTTTCCGCCTCGAGTCCTAGTCTTTTTCCGTACCCGTAAGGCTCTTACTACCTTCCTAGTAGCCTTGCTAGTGGTCCCTACTAATTTTCCGCCTCGAGTCCTAGTCTTTTTCCGCACCTATAAGGCTCTCACTATCTTCCTAGTAGCCCTACTAGTAGTCCCTACCAATTTTCCGCCTCGAGTCCTAGTCTTTTTCCGCACCCGTAAGGCTCTTACTACCTTCCTAGTCGCCTCGCTAGTGGCCTGCCTAGTAGCCCCTACTAATGTTTGCCTCGAGTCCTAGTCTTTTTCTTTTCTACTAATTAAACACTCTCATTGTAATCATCACGCTATCGTTACAATTGCAGTGTTGTATATTAAGAGGAAAAACTGTTTGATCATTACGCTTATTAAAACTTTCCTCGATCATAATATTAACCCTTGCCTTTATCATCTACTCGATCTTAATAGCCTCTCCTGCTATAGCGTTCGTCTCGAAATTATTAGGGTCTTCTATTCTGACTTTAAGATTAAATACACTTAAGTCCTCGTCTAGCAGCACCGCTGCTACAGCGTTTCGGAGGTTAGTAACACTATAGTTGCGCTTAACGAACCAGTCCTAACAGTCTAACTATAGAGCTGTAGCAATGATACGGTATACCTCGACTAGCCTTAACTTCTACACATTGCGGGGACGTCTTAAGCGACTAATGACTTGTTCGATGAGAGCTGCTTGCTAGCATCCGTCCATTAAAATCATATAATCGGCAGGGACAAGCTTAATGCTACTTCTTATAGCAGCATAGGAGACTACGATGACATAAGGGCTAGAATCATCCTTTCTGAACCTCTTAAAGATTTCGTTTCTCTCCTTAATAGTCATCTATCTACTAACGATTGCAACATCTGCTAGGCCGTCTATGTTGCTGTTTAGGAGGGTTAACTAATACCTAATACGACGGTATGCTACTACGACATTTATCGGTGTCGAGGCGCCGATAACAACCTTTCTTCTATGACCGGTAGCTAGGTTAGTCTTAGATAGGGTGTGCTCTACGATGTCCACTATAGCCTTATATTAAGGAAGTTTCACTATATGAGGCATGGCGGCTTTGTCGAATTTAGTTAACCGGGGATCATTAAATTAGGCGTCTTCGGCTTAAGCCTTATCCTTATCGCTTTCCGGCGCTACTTCCTTGTCATGTTCTAGAGCATCATTAATAATAGCTTTAGCGCTTCTAAGAGTAAGGTCTAATAATAAGCTCGCCTTGAACATAGGATTAGACTCCCTTAATGCTTCAAAGTAAGGGAAGTTGCTAATGTAGCGGAACTTATAGATGCTTTAGAGGAAGCCGGCCTAAGAGAATTCCGACTTTTCGCCGCCATTCTTTCCTATTACTGTCTTAACATGTTTAGCTCGTGCAATAGCCTATTTAAGCGCAACCCTATAAGGTTCGGCGATGTCGTTATAGTATTCCTCTAGGATAGGGACGTTTATGTCTAGAACTCGCACCGGTGCCATGTTTATAATCGGAATCTAATTAGGTCCCTACGGTGTCGATGTAGTGAACTAAATGGTCGAGTCGTTTAGCAGACGAGCTAAATCCTAAGCCTCGGGCTTATTAGTAATGGTTGTCGTTAACTGTCCTGCCTTATAGTTAACAAGGGCGCCGCTAGTAGAAACGTCCTTATTAAGGACTCTGCAGATCTGTCTTAACGTAACAAAGCTCTTTGCTAGGAGCTAGTCTCTCCTAACCTAGTTATCTATGTGATTAAACACATCGATCGCACTTTCTCCCTTCCTAGATGCTTTAAGAAGTGAGGCATGCTAATCTTAAAAGCGGTCCGGGTAAAGGGCACTAGTGCCTAGATTAGTTATGCTATTAGTTAGAGAAGGGATGTAACGGCTTAAGCTCTCTACAGCTATTAATAGAGCGATAAGGGAACTCGGCTTGTTAAGGAAGGTTCCGCTAATCCAGATAAACTGCGGTAAGCCTAGAATGCTTATTATGTTCCTCTACGCAAAAGTTTGCTAGCCGGTGATCTCGTGAAACTCGTCTATAAACATATAGCTAAATTCGGTATCGATTAAACGCTCGGAATCGTTAGGCTTAACACCTACCGGGGTCTCATCGGTGCCATAATCCGTTAGCCTAATGCGCGATAAAAGGTTTCCGGCGGCATAGATAATGACGGCAGTAGAACACTATAGGTACCATTCCTCTTGCCTATGTTCTCGCTACATCTTTCTCTTATAGCGCAAGTCCTTCCATTTCCGGAGCATCTATATAACAGATAATTTAGCATTACTTTAGAACTAGCTAACGCGAAGCGGTAAGGCCGGCTAAAACCTAGAAGGGAGTTTAGAGCGAAAGCTTAAGACGTAATCGCTATAATCGGTTTTAGTCTTCCTTTCTGAAATCTTGGCAGATACGACTATTACCGGAGTTAAGGGAGAAAACTTGTTTAAAGATCTGCACCATAATTAGATCATAAGGGGGGGCGGTACTACTAAGAATGGTCCGGCACTAACTCGAAGATCCTATTCTTAGTCCTCGGGCTTCTCTTTAGTTAATTGCTCTCGGCATTGCTTAATCGTCTTAGTCGGGGCTTACTTAAATAGCGTGTACGGATTTATGTACTCGTCGGTAGACTTAGATAAATAGCTCTATCGGAAGGCTCGTAGTACCTCGAAGATTCTAATAGAGATAGGCGTCTTGCTAACTCCTATCGTATAGCTAAGAATCGTCTAAAGGCCTCTAGAAAGCAGGACGCGAAGACAGAATGCGACACTAAAGAACTAATAGGACAGGAGATAGAACTCCCTACTCCATTTCTCGAGGAAAACGCTAGAGTCGGGATTCTAATGCTCTAGATTAAAACCGACTATCTAATAGGCAAGCTGCTAGGACAACGCAGTTATGTAGGCAAGTTTGTCTTGTCCGAAGAGAGCGCCGGTAAGTATAGATCTAGATGCGGAGTCGACGTTTTTATAAGCACTAGAAGACAACTACTTATAAAGGATAGAGGTGAATTTGCGACTACTCCCCGCGGGCCTAATACTATAGATAGCAGGAGTCTTAGAGACTACTAGCTCCTATAAACGGAGTAGAGCCTCTCTTATGCGTAGATAGTGTCTAGCAGACACTACCGCACTAGTCTAGTCTACGTTTATAAGATCGTTAGAAACTAAAGACGGCCTTTTAGCATGCTAGAGCGGTTCGGGTTTACTCTTCTAACTAGGTCCGACCTAAGGGGTTAGACTTATAGGGGGGGTGCTACCTTTAAGGGGGAAATGTTAAGTCTGCAAGTCCGTATTAAAAGGGACACGGCCACGGAGGAGGCTAGATAGGAGTCGCTTAAGGATGTCCGTATCCTAAGCGACAAAGAGAATAATGCCGTTATAGTTAGTATCCGCGCGCTCATAGGCCCGGGTAATGTAGCTAATGTTCACTAGGAGAGGATCGGAGTAAATCTAACTCTATGTCTTACTAGAAGGGTCCTAGAAGCCTACGGCAAATTAATCGGTAAGCTTATACCTAGCCTCGGGAACGC